AGCACAGACACTACATGTCCGACTGCTACGCCTCAGCCACTCGACCAGGAGACGCCGGAGACGTGGACGACGACGTGCGCTCGTCCGACCGACGGAGCCGCCACCACAACCACAGGGAGGAGGAGGAGGAGGAGGAGGAGGAGGAGGAGGAGGAGAAGCCCTCTCCCACATCGACACCACCCTCCGACTCTCCCCTGCGGGGCCGCCGCTCCCAACCCTGCCTGCCGCCCTGCCCCCCCGTGCACACCGGAGGCGGCCGCTCGCTGGGCCTCGACGCGCCGCGGGGCGCCCGCCGCGACGGGCGGGGGAGGCCCGCGCGCGGAGCGGGGCGCGGAGGCGAGGGAAACGGAGGGCGGGGGGCGGGCGGGAGATGGGGGGCAGGGAGGAGGGCACGAGGAGGACGAGGAGGACGAGGAGGAGGAGGAGGAAGAGGAGGAGGAGGAGGAGGAGGAGGAGGAGCAGGAGCAGAACGAGGGCGCGGAGGAGGAGGAGCAGGAGCAGGAGCAGGAGGAGGAGGAGGAGCCATCGCAGTCGTCTCCCCCCTAGGCTCGCCTCGCACACCCAGCCGACTCAGCCTGCCCCCACTTGGGCACCCGACGGCACGCTCTCCGACGCGTGCCTCGGCCTCGCGGCCGCGGGCCTGCCCCGGGCCGCCTCGGCCGCCGATGCGGTGCCTCTTCAACCGCCCCTTGGCTCCTCCACCCCTCTGGCGCCGGCCCGTTGAGCCGCGCTCCGAGCATCCAGCACTCCCTCGCTCGCTGCCTCTGCCGCTGCTACCCCCCCCCCCAGACCCCCCGCATCCCCCCCATGCCCTGCCTCTGGCCCCGCCTCCGTCCCCGGGGCCGTCCCCCCGGCTCGCTGGCGTGCCCACGCGCCTCGCCCCGACGGCGCGGCGCCAACGGGACCGCACGCTCACTCTCACCCTGCCGCCCATGTCAGCGCGCGCGTGCAGGTGAGCGTGCAGGTGAGCGTGCAGGTGCGCGTGCAGGTGCGCGTGCAGGTGCGCGTGCAGGAGCGCATGCGGTTGCGTTCGCCCGTTGGCGTGTGGGTGTGGGTGCGTTTTCTGATGTGTGTGTGTGTATGAGAAGGTGCACCTGCGCGCACGACTGCAACGGCCAGTTGAGCACTTCAGCGGCCCGCGAACGCTGAAAGTGTGCGTGCGCGAAGAAAGGTGGAGGAGGAGTAGGAGGACGACGACGAGGAGAGACGGAGGGGGAGGGCCCTCACCGACCGCCTGCCCGTCTGGCCTCCTGAGGGCGCGGCTGCTGGCCACCACCTGAACTGGCTCCAATGAGCGGCTGCGGCTGCGCCTGCGGCTGAGCTGGTGGTCAACGCCGTCCTCTTGCTTCTCCTCGACGCTGCCCTCCTGCACGCAGGCCTCCGGCGCTTTGCGGGCCCCGCGGATGCGGGAGATCCCACCACGGATGCGAGTCGCCCCAGAAACGAGCCAGACGAGTCCCCCGATGGATGAACTCGGAGGTCGAGTCGCCCTGCTTGCGCTAAAGTGAAATATCCATCGACCACCTATCAACGTGAACGCTCCCATCGATGCGCTGCGAGTATTCAGGGTATCACCGCAGAATATGTTGGACCTGGTTGGAAGCGTGTACGCGGGATAGACAGTTCTGCGTGGCTGGCGGGATAGTCAAATCAAAATCAGACGCCAAGTCTGTGGGATCCCACAAAAAAATGCCAGTTAGCCCACTTCTTTGACATGATCATATGTGTGGCCACTAAACATGCACAGAGTAAGTTGGACGCTTATACGCTAAGCACACTTGCTGCCCAGAATATGTTAGTTCCTGTGGACGCGGATGATACTCGATTGGCTGGGTGGGAAGAAGACGACCAATTACAACACGTCCGAAAGTTGAGTGTAGAACAGGTGCATAAATTGCAGTGGAACTCGACTAGGACAAGCTCTACTTTTTACATAACATGCAACATCCACTTGCGGGAACCAAACGGGATTATCATCATTCCGGCCACAGGGCACAGGTAAAACCTTGGCGTGTGTGTGTGTGTGACGCTGTGCGACCTTAACACGAACTGATTACGCACGAGGGCTTGAAAACTGAGATCTGTCGATCTTAGGCAGAATTACAACGTCATGTTTCGGGCCACTCGTTACGAGCAAGTTTAGACAACAACAAAAAACGGAAGAGGAAGGCTTGATGGGCCACAGACGCGCTGCCTCAAACAACGCCTGGGCATCCTGCACTCTTACGCGTCAATGGTGCCCAACAGGCCCGTGCGCAGCGGGCGGGAGTGGCATCTGGTAGCACGCAACCGCTCAAACATCTGCTCGCTCGGCTCGGGCAGTGGGGCCACAATAGCAAGAATAGACCTGCTGCGACACTCACCCTTGCAGCCAGGCAGGGGTGGTAAGAGCGTTCGCACGGTAAGGTGTACCCTTCTTTTGACTCCAAGTGGCCCACCAGCAAAACCAGCTAAAGCGAGAAGGAATGCCTTCGAATCGCATCGAGATGTTCTTGAGCAAGATCTGCCTGTATGTGTAGCTTGTTGTGTTTCATCGCTGGATCTCCTCCTCCTCCTCCTCCTCCTCCTCATCCTCATCCTCATCCTCATCATCATCATCATCATCATCATCATCATCATCATCATCATCATCATCATCATCATCATCATCATCGTCATCATTATCATCCTCATCATCATCTCTGGGAAAGGGATGCTATGTTCCTTGGCCTGGGTGCGCTGTGCATCAAGGCAACGTGTCGTCTGCCCATGCACCCATGGGCGCATGTGGAGGGGAAGTGCGCTGGGCCCGTCACAGGGTTGCTGGCTCGCCAGGCTGCTGCCTACTCCTTTCGGCGGTGGACGAACTTCCCTTTAGTAAATCCTCCCCTGAACGAAAACGGCCTAGAACCGAAACCGACGGACCGGGACCCGCAAAAATAACGGCCGCGACGGCCAGGAGGTCTATCAACTTCCGATCCTTCCGCTCCTCCTCATCGTCCTCCTGGAAGGGGCCACAAAAAAGAACTGGCTCGGGGAAACAGTCATCGACCTGGAATCGGCGATGATCGCCCCCGATAGCGACGCCTTAAGTTCCTGGGCAGGGTGGGCTAACCGAGCCTCTCAGCGGAGTATAGGCAATGGGGGTTCGATCTCCCGCCCCACCCCCTCAAGCAAGACCCCCCTTTCGCTCCACGGATCCGCTGGGAGTCACTGGAGGTTCACACAGGTCTCCGCGGAGGTGCCCAGAAGCCTCAACGAAAACCTCCGGGAGTCCCTGGACACCTCCAGAGCCAAGACTACCAAAAACAAAAGCAACAACAATAACAACAACAGCAACAACAACAAACATTTTAAGACTGTTCGCTCTTATCTGCTCGAGTGTCTAATAACGCGTATTTCCCAAACCCTCGATACCCGCCCTCTTCGTCTTCGATCGAACCCCTTTTGGGTGGTATACCATTCTTCCCTGCAGGCCGGGCCCGGGCAAGCGGCGGGGCGGCCGCGGACCGTCGGCCTGGCCAGCGGCAACGCTGATCGGCGGGGCGGCCGCGGGCCGTCGACACGACCCCAAAAGGGACGGACAGGGGACCGACCACGACGACGACAACGACGACGACGACGACGTCGACGACGACGTCGACGACGACGGCGACGACAACGACGACGGCGACGACGACGACGAGCGAAAGCGAGAGCGCGAGAGAACGACAGCAGGGACACCAGGACACGAAGTAGGCCACGAAGGGCGACAGCGGGGACACGCAGGGAATGCGTATGGGACCACGAAGAACGCGAACGAGCGGGGGCCACGAAGGGCACACGTATACTGGGCCGCGGAGGGCAAGGACGGGGCCACTGAGGGCAGCAATGGGGCCACGAAGGGCAGCGAGGGGGCCACGAAGGGCGACAGCGGGGCCACGAAGGGCAGGAAGGGGGCCACGAAGGGCGACAACGGGGCCACGAAGGGCATGCGCATGGGGCCACGACGGGCGCGAACGACCAGGGGCCACGAAGGGCAGATCATGCGGGGCCACAGAAGGCAACGACGGGGCCACTGAAGGTAGCAACTGGGCCACGTAGGACAGTGAGGGGGCCACAAATGGCGACAGCGGGGCCACGAAGGGCATGCACATGGGACCACAACGGGCGCGAACGAACGGGGGCCACGATGGGCATACGTATACTGGGCCGCCGAGGGCAAGGACGGGGCCACTGAGGGCAACATCGGGGCCACGAAGGGCAGCGAGGGGGCCACGAAGTGCGACAGCGGGGCCACAAAGGGCATGCATATGGGGCCACCACGGGCGCGAACGAGCGGGGGCCACGAAGGGTATGCATATATGGGGTCACAAAAAGCAGCGAGGGGGCCACGAAGGGCAGCGAGGGGGCCGCGAAGGGCAGCAACGGGGCCACGAAGGGCTGCGACGGGGCCACGAAGGGCAGCGAGGGGGCCACGAAGGGCTACAACGGGGCCACGAAACAAAGCGAGGGGGCCGCGAAGGGCTGCAACGGGGCCACGAAGGGCAGCGAGGAGGCCACGAGGGGCTGCAACGGGGCCGCGAAGGGCAGCGAGGGAGCCACGAAGGGCTGCAACGGGGCCACGAGACAAAGCGAGGGGGCCACGAAGGGCTGCAACGGGGCCACGAAGGGCAGCGAGATCCCGATTCTTAGATAATCTGTGAGGGAGTCCTAAATGTGAGCGCGACTCCTGGGTGCCTGGGTGTCGGGAGCGCGGCGCTTGAATAAATTGCAAGAATTTCCATGGCAAGGACGCTATTCTTCAGTAAATTGCAATCAAGCCTCCAGCGAGAGCTCGACTCCAGAGCGCCGGGAGAACGAGTCCTGAATAAATTGTAAGGAAGTCCCAAGCAAGAGCGCGATTCCTGAATCAAATGCAGGGAAGTCTCGACCGGGAGCGGGGGTCCTGGCTAAATTGTGAGGAAGTCTAAGGCGGGAGCCGTTGTTGTTGTAACCCGGGGGCCAACGACACAGTTTGACCCTCAAGACTTTCCCTGATAAAAAACAGGGTGCGAGCCCCGGGAAGGACACTTCAATCGAGAAAAAAAACAATGTGCACCGGACGGGGGGGATCAACGAAATTATTCTTCAGAAATGAAAATTCAAAAACAACAACAAAATCCCGCCAGCCCTCTATCTATGCGTAGGTGGTTTAGCGAACTAGTTCTTCCAACCTCCTTCTTCGCCTTCGGGGAGAGGTTTACCCCTCCCCCTCACCCCTCTCTATGGGTCTGGACTGGCCTGGTCGCGAGGGGTTCGAGCGTACAAGATGACCCAAGACTGCCCGAAGACGGCCCAGATAGCCCAAGATGGCCTCCAAAAGATGCCCGAGAAACCGCCGACCCCCGCTTGCCGGGAGTGACAAGGCCTGCGAGACATCTGGCTGTCCCCCTCCCCCTTTTCCCCCTCCCCAAGGATCCAAAATCGCATTAGAGGGGGAGGGGTCTGGAGGGGGGCCCAGAGGGGGAGGTAGGAGCTCCCAAACGCATCCGCGGCGCCTCCGGAACCTCTGACCAGGGTCTAAGGCAGCCCAACAAAGACCCAAACGAGGCGCCAAGGCACCCCGAAGAAGATCGCGATGGCCGCAGGTAGCCCCGCGACAGTCCCGGATGGCTTCGTGACGATCCACGTGGCCACCACCACCAGCCCCGAAAGTGCTCCCCGAGGACCGCTGACACAGCCCCAAGTGACAAAAATAACGTCCCATTACTTTGGGAACACCTACACGTTTAGCTTACTCGGCATTTTCGACTCCACAGCGTTCCAAACGACCCAAGGGGCCCCCAAGACTGTACCAAGACGTCCGATGAGGCCCCTGAGAGGGCTCCAAGACAGCTCAAGAGGCGTCCAAGACGACCCGCTATGGGACCCCCAAAGAGCCCGAAAGAGGCCCCTGGAGAGCCCCGAGATACACCCAGGAGTCTCGAAAAGACTCGAAGGAGTCCCTCCCGAGGCGCTCCAAAAAGGGCCAAAGAAGGCTCCAAGAGGCCCCCGACAGACCCCCAGGAGGTCCCAAGAATCCTCCAAGAAGCTCCCCAGATGCCTCCAACAGCCTTCCAAGAGGCCCACGGCAGGTATCCCAAGAGACACCATAGTCATCCAAAAGGCTTTGGGGCCACAGCCCACGCACGACGAGGGGTTGGTCCGAAAGCCACAAGACAGTTCCCACGATCGTCGCAAGCTCTGGCTCCTTCTGGGGGTCGACAAAATGGCGGAAGCCACTTGAATATGGCTCCCAGTATGCCTCGGGGCTGAAATGAGCGCTGGCCTTTTTGTCAAACCGATTGCCTCCAAGAGGGCCCCAAGAGACCCGAAGGCCTCCAAAATGGCCCCAAGGGGCCCCAAGATGGTCCAAGTACCAGATGCCAAGAAGCTCCCATATCGACAGACCCGCGAAGGCACCTGTGGTTGGCTCCTGGGCCTGCTCAGGCAGACATCGATATTATGTTTGACGTTTGCCCCCCCGTCTTGTTCCACTGCATGCTCCCACGCTGCCTTGATCAATGCAACTCGCCCAGCCATTGTCGCTGGATGGTCTGGTGGGGATACGCCAAACCAAGAACTCCCCTCCTCCTCCTCCTCCTCCTCCTCCTCCTCCTCCTCCTCCTCCTCATCCTTATAGATAACTCCTCCCTGTGGTACCCCGAGGCCAGTCAGAAAGGGCGGGCTGGGCGTTTCGCCTGAGACTTCCCCCACCACGTATGACTCTGATGCTTAATAAATTGACAACAGCTTCACAGATGGAGGCCGGTGGTTTTCAAAATGTGGCTCTCGCCTTAATGCAACGCACATTCGTTTCAACAAAATTGCAAGACGTTCGCGGACTTCCCGCGGTTCGTTTTCAAGATGTGGCTCTCGCCTTAGCGCCGAGAACACTCGTTTTGAAAAATTGCACTAGTTTCACGGATTGAGGGCGGTTCCTTTTCAAAGTGTGGCTCTCACGTCAGCGCCGCGCACATTGTTTTCAAACATTTGCAAGAATTTCATTGGCTCTCATGCTTACCGTTCGAGATGTGGTGCTTTGGAACAATTCAAGATTGGCAGGGCGTAACAATTACGTTGATTCGCGGTGTTGAAGTCGCAGGAATGATGTCCTGGTGCGATTCAGGATGGCCGAGACGTAACAAGCAGGTTAACTCGTGGCGTTGAGAAGTCCTGAAATTGGTATTTTGGCACGCTTCAAGATCTTCACACGGCTGTCCCCCAACCGGGCAATTCCTTCAGTGGAATGACCCTTGGAGTCCTATGAAGAAGGATATTGGAGGGAGGGTGCATTTCAACATCGTTCCCGAGTCTTGCGTTTACACCGGTCCTCCTCCTCCTCCTCATCATCATCCTCCTCCTCATCCTCCTCCTCCTCCTCCTCCTCCTCCTCCTCTTCCTCCTCCTCCTCCTCCCCCTCCTCCTCCTACTCCCCCTCCTCCTCCCCCCCCCTCCTCCCTCCTCCTCCTCCTCCCTCCTCCTCCTCCTCCTCCTCCTCCTCCTCCTCCTCTCCTCCTCCTCCTCCTCCTCCTCCTCCTCCTCCTCCTCCTCCTCCTGTTTCTCCTTCTCCTGCCCGCCTGGTCCTGCCCCTCCTGGGAGTCCCCCAGGTCGTCGTACAGCCAGCGGAGGAACGGCTCGTATTCGAAGCGGCCCGAGCCGCTGAACCTCTCCAGCGCCTCCCTGGTGAAGATGCTGGCGAACACGGGCGCGGTGCGCAGCCGCTCGAAGATCGCATCGATCTTCCTTCGCTCGATGCTCCCGAGGCCCTCCGGGTCGTGGCGGAGGAAGATCGCCCGCACCTGTCGGCGACTCCGAAGGGTGTGGTTTGCAAAGGGTGCGGTTTGCAATCGGCACCCTGGGGGACACCCTGGGGGGCGGGCGGGGACCTCGACAGAGCTCTCCGCCGCACCCCGCGAAGAGGCCCGACGAGGACAGTGTCGTGCCACCCAGGCCCCAACGGCGCCGACCGCAAACCACACCCCGGCGTAACCACACCCTTTGCAGTCGCCGAACCTGCTCGGCGCAGGGGTCCCCCGCCGCGGGCTCCGGGGGCGCCGGGCGCCCGCCGATCGGCGGCAGCGTCCGCGGCGGAGGCTCCCGCGCCGCGCCCAGCACCGCGGGCTCCGGGCCCGGCGCCATGCCCGGCGGGGCGCCCCCCGGGAGGGGGGGCGGGGAGCCCCGGGGGCCTCGAGCCGGGGCGGGGGGGGGGGAGGGGGAAAGGGCGAGAGGGGGGGGCGAGGTGGGCGGGGGGCGAGCGGGGGGGGGCGAGGGGGGGAGGGGGGCGAGGGGGGAGGGCGAGGGGGGAGGGGCGAGGGGAGGGGGCGACGGAGAAAGAGCGAAGGGGGGGCGAGCGAGGGGGGAGGCGGAAGCGAGGAGGGAGGCTGGGGGGGGAGAGAGGCTGGGCGGACGGATGGCGGAGGTGGCGGGGAGGGGAGGGGGGGAGGAGGAGGAAGAGGGGGCCTGACTGTGAGGAGAGACGGGGAGAAGGACGGGGAGAAAGCACGAGGGAGCAAGAGGGGGAAGAACACCGGGTCGGACGATGAACAAGGAGTCAAGGTGAGGCTGGAGGCGGCAGGAGGCGATGGAGATGGGAGGACGGAGAGTCCGAAATACGCCCATGCGCTACACGATGGCAAGTCACGGCCAGTCGCACTAGCATTGAACTATCTCGCACTGTCTGTCCAAAGCATTCAGGCAAACGAAAACTTTCGCCTAACGGATCTCCTGGCCGGCAAGCGCTTCTGTCCACGGCCTAGCCCTGAACGTAACGCGCAAGAGATCCAGGAATTCGCAATTAATCAAGCCCTTATCGCGCATGTGAGTTACTCTACCCTGGGGCCATGCCAAAGATAACATCGACACATCGACCGCTTGAATTGTTGATCACTTGACTGGCCACCAGCTCCACGGCTGATCGGAGGATCGTGCACTTCGTCGCATCCATCACAGGCGTTTACATCCTCCACGACGCCAGAAAAGTGTTCCATTCAGAAATTCGCCGGCCCCACGGGCCAAAGGCGTGCTAGGATCTCCAGTAACTCCTTACCAATATTTCTAGTTCGCGCGCGCGGGGGGGCCCCTGGGGGCCCCCGGACGAAAAGTACCCCGGCTGACCCCTGGCCAGGCCCCGGCCGGGCCCCGGGCGATCCCCAGGGGGGGACGCTAGTGTTCGCCACCACTCACGAGGATCTTGGCCTCCGAGGGGGTGGCTGCAATCGACTACCCCCCTCCCGCCCCAAGGGGCCCCCAAGAGCCCCCCAAGAAGCCCCAGGGGAGCCCAAGGCGCCGCCAAGGAGCCCCAAGACGCTCCCAAGAAGCCCCCAAGAGGCCCCCAAGACGGCCCCAAGAGGCCCCAAATAGCGCTCCAGGGCCGGCGGAATGAGCGAAGCGAGTTATAAGCGGACGAACGAAACACAATGCGAGCGCTGCTGGGGCCAAGGAACGTCGGACCTCGACGCATCAAAAGACATGTTTGAATTTGCTGAAGGATCTCGAGGCTGATTGCGCCAGGCCCTCCAACACAGAAACTGGAGTTTGGACTTGCCCAGAGGATGATATGGACTCGGTGGATGAACCACGGTGCCATGAGGCACATACAATGTCCCCGCGTTCCTGTTATCTGGGCGGCGCGAGTGCCATTTGCCCCTTCGGTTTAGGTGGTTTGGCGGGCGACAGTGGTCACAGCGTCGCGGAGCGCGCCAAGTCGAATGATGTTCGATAGTTTGGCCTTCTCGCCCAGTCGTTTCCAGAAAAGTTTCCGCGGCGGTCAAATGGCCCCAAAGACGGCCCGAGACGGCTCTCGCGGAGGGCCCGGGCGGGCCCCCGCGGACCGCGAAGACCGGCAAGAGAACCGCAAGAGCGCCAACAAGATCCCTGCGACGATGCCGCAAGCTCCGGCACGGCAAAGCGATTGAGGGCCCATCTGCTTTGTTCGACCGATAACCTCCAGGATAATTCCAAAAAGGCCCTGACATGTCCCCAGGAAAACGCCAAGGAACTCAAACAGAAAGCCAGACCACCCAAAGCGAGCCAAAACAGAATTTCGATGTATGGACCAAACAGCATCAGGAATTACCAGTGTTCTCTAAGTTCACCACTGCTGGCTTTTGTTCCACAAAATATGTGTTACGCTTTCTTCTCCTAGCAGCTCGCATGTGCATCGCGTCTGTATGAGCTGGTCGGACGACGCGGAGCGATAGTCACAAAAGAATTGATTTCCAACCTTTTTACCAAATGAATGGGCGAACAAACAAGCACATTGGCGGGCGGGCAGAGACGCAAACGTTCGTGGACTGCGGGTCGCAGCTCGAAAGCTGTATACATAGAGCCAACGGCCGCCAGCGAACTGCATTGAGACGGGGATGCCCCGTCAGCATCATCAAATGACGTCTGCGCGTCACTCCGAACTTCAAAATACACGCATGAACGAAACCCGAAAAAAAACAATGACCCAGACCTACAATCCGGACCACGGGCGCGGAAACGATGGCAAAACTACTCATACGCATGGTGTGAAATCACGACGGGGCAGTTCGACAGCAGCGTGGGCTTCTCCGACATTTGGTCCGACTCAGCCCCACTGCCAAATCCAATCGACCATTTGGGGGTTCTGCGCGCGCCCATCGACCCCATCGGTCCACATCCTTCCACCACAGAAGAACGAAAAAGTGGAAGCGGCCCAAAAACTGCTTGGATTCCGAGTAATTCCAGTTAACAATTGAGCCAGATTCAGACGCGCATGCTTATGTCGGGCCCTTGCGGCTAATATGGCCAATCATCTTGCCAAAGTAGCATGGTGCTATCAAGAAGAAGATGGTTTCGCGGACGGCGGGCGGAGCAGCGCAGCGCGCACGCCCGCCCGGAGACGGGGCCAGGAAGACAGGCGCGGGCGAGCCGGAGCCTTCACTCGCACATGTGGGAATCGCGGTTCCGCCTGCGCGGCGTTGTTCTAGGCTGCTCCATTGCGCGCTGTCTTGCGCGAGCGCAAACAGTCGTCCGGCGCGCGGTTGGGGAGGAGCGTCTGGTGCGAACTTGCGCGACATCGCCTTCACGCCGCTTCATCTGACCCCCGTGCCTGCGGAGCGCTGGTCGGCGGTCGTGGGCGCCCAGCTCCCACGTTGCAGCAGGTCGGGCCCATCGTTTGCACGGCTGATTGACGATTCGTCCTGCGCGCCCCCGCTTCCGCGGAAAACAAACCGTCGCCCACCCATCTACATGGGCTCTTTATGCAAATTATGTTGCTGCGTGCGTAGATATGCGGACGAGCCCCCACGGCTCGAAGTCGGAATCTGCGTCACCACAAACGACTTGCCACTTTCGTCGCCCATGTTCGTGTCTGTTTTGGATCTGTCATCCACATGCGCCCCTGCACCAGAATTGCCCGCGCCGCTGATAGCAGCGTCACTGCGGGTTGACCGATGTCGCGGGGTCTTCACGATGATTTGTAGAACCCGTCGCTGGGTGCGCATCAGCGTTCGGGGCGCACCCATGGTCAGCGCCCACGAAACGAGACCGCGCCTGACTGTTGGCGTCACTGTTCGACTGCACAGACGGAGTTCATTGGGTTCTCGGCACCGCCCGTTCGCGGGCTCGTCTCGGAATAAGTCGAATCTGCGCCACACAGTCACGATTGCGTCGGCGAGCTCCGCCCAGTAGCAATCTATATCGTGAGCTGCGAGCTCCTGGCCAAGATTCTCGGTCGGGTCCGCGGCGAGAATCCCCCCGCTGTCGACGTAGGCGCTGGCGCGCGCGATGTCCCGCCCCGTTTCGTCGGGAAACGCGGGTGAGAAGATTGGTTCTGTCGGCCGGTAGCGAAAGCCCGCCTCCTGCGCCTTCTCTGAAGTTCCTGGAGAATCACCTTCGACTGTCGTAAATTTGGCGCGAGGGGAACCCAGGTCTTCTGCAAATCGTAAGTTGGCGGATCCTGTAGACCTGATGCACCCCACTTCGACTGCATACTCTCGGAGTTCCCCGGCAAGTCCGACATGCCAGGGAGCGCGACCAAGAATCGCGTAGAAATGGCACGGGCTGCCTGGGTCGCCTTGTCTGACCCCGCGTTGTACGCTAATTCCTCTGCCGTTGACGTCGGCCCTCACCGTGGCGGCCTGGTCGTCGCGCGGGCTCTGCAGCAGAGAAATGCATGCTCATGACACGCTCTGCTGCCGAAATGCTCTCTAGAGGTAATGGTGGCCAACGCAGCCGACTGCCTGCTCGAAGCCACTTGCGGCAATCCTCGCATGAAACTGTTCGCGCAGTGCGGTCGCTTTGAAAGCGCCCTATCTGCAGAACCACTGGCGAAAGCCAGCTCGGCCAGGTGATTGCTCAGACTCGAAGGTCGCATCTAGCTGGTTGCACTCCAATGGAGACAGAAAGTTGCATAATAGTGGGATGCTGGCGATTGGCCTGTAAGTTTGCGGCAGTTGTGGGTCGCCTGCCTTGAAAGTGGCACAGCACGTGGGGCGTCTCCACGACTCGGGCTCTTGCTCAATTGATATAACGTCGCTGAAGAGCTTCAACAGCTATAACTCGATGACATTTCCTTCGGCCATCGGTTGCCCCGCTGAAGAGGCCGCTGGTGTCTTTGCATTTGCCGTCGTTGCTTTGCGTAGCTCCGCGGAGCATTTCGCATCTGGGTCATGGTTGTGCATGGTCACGCGCCTCGGATGGCTGAACGCCCGCAGGTTGGTTGGCCCCTGCGCGGCGCCGGCGCAGCTCTTCGTAGAGGTCGACAAAGCATGATTTGATGCCATGGTGGCCCGTCTCACTGTCACCGTTTTTCGCTGCAATGCCCGGCATCAAATCTGCGCTTCTGTCGGACTTAATGAAATAGATTTTCTCGACGTCTCGGAAGGTGCGTATATCATCACCCAGGTCTGTGCGTCGTTGAGTTCGCTTGACGACCTGGCGTTGTCGCATGATGCGTTTGCTGAGGGATGATTTGATTTGGCGCGCGCGTGAGAATTGGGAGCCGGCGGTAAACCGTCAACCTTGGCCACCGCCGGGAAGTCGTAGAGCTTCCTTGCGATATACATGCATGGCATGCAAGCGCGGCAATCTCGCTTTCCGCGCGCGCGCGAGAGCGCGGTTTCATGGCGAAGGAGGTGAGAAGAAGGGGGAGCGAGGAGGAGAAGGACTGGAGGAGGCTGAGGAAGAGGAGGAGAAGGAGGAGA